TCTGGCGCGACAATTTCTAGGACACAGTAATCGATATCATAATCGATAATCGAATCGATGCAAGGGTAGGTTAACCGATAGTTGAAAAGTGTAATCGGTTCACCCCTAATTGATACCATATCCAAGTCTGACTCGCACCGTGAGATCCTGGCAACAATATTACCTGGTACATGATATATTCAGACACTGACATAAGCATCTTTTTGGAACAACACGTGTGCCTATCTGCTAGAGTAATGTGACACACATGCAGAATCAGTCATAGCTAATTTGACCCCCTCACTGTTGTATGCGCAGACTCCACTTCGCGGTGTCAAGTACTCTTCTTTCGGTGGGCTACTCCACTCAGGCGCTTGTCTTAAAGGACTCACATTCATCCTGCAAACCTACGCGACTAGCATAGTTTTCACTGTCGGCCGAAGTGCGTGCATTGCATACATTGAGATTCACTCCCTCCGTACAGGCCAGTACAGAGCTGCCCACCAATTGAGTCTGTTTTGCGTACTCAGACTCAGTCTGATTTTCCGTATCTTGCAGTGTGTTGCGTACTGCCGTGTACATTGCATGCATACTTGCACTACAAAGGTTTTTTGACACGCACATGCATGTCAGTGGCTGCATTTGGTAGTGTAAAACATGTGTGACTTGCACTCACGACATTATTTTTTGTGCTACATGTACATGTTGTCGTGGTACGGCATGCACTCGCTTTGGTACAAGACTATTCATCGCTCAGCTTACACTTGCAATGCTTCTACACAGCTGATTGATCCTCTTCGATTTTCTATACCATTTGCTCAAATTCTGTAGTGCGGACAAGGAGTGATTTTCCGTACAAATACAGAAAAATATGGAGGGCTGGTACTTGGTAGCACTGCTAGTATGGTAGTGCCAGGCTAAGCTGGCTGGAAGATCAAATACTTTTTTGGTTCTTTCAGTCATTTTCACGACTATATTTTCTTTATCATGATCCCCGGGGTGTGACGTTCTTACGAGTGCAGAAACTCAGTCTTTCTAACCGAGTCTCACGTCCACTGTGAATTTGTTCTTCTTTTATTCACACTGCCATGTATCGATTCATCGCTTCTTCCCACCCGAGATCCTGTGCAACAGCGATTTAAAGATTGGCTTTATCAAATAGTGATCAGAGAGAGAGAGAGAGGATCAGTTGTCGCTGCTGTGACAGCTGCATAGAGTGTAGATTGGTGCAAACATCATTGCCCAGCAGAACCGTATTCATAGGGACCTGCGTTTAGCATTTGGAAGCTATTTTTTAGAATTTGTACAGGCCCAATAAGCCTGAAGAGAAGAACACCTAACTTAGACTATCCTAACGTTATCGAACGCACTGCCAAAGTAAAAACAACATTTGAAATGCAGACTCGATCGTGCATGCATGGAGGGCATGGGGAAGAGACGGAGAGGGTGAAAGCGAAGGAAATTTGTTCCGAAATCAAGAGAATCCGAGGAACCCTTGCTGCATTCTTCAGTACGATAACGTCAGTGGGTGCATCTCAGATGTGTTGTGCGCCCAGACATACAAGTAGCACTAACCTGAGCATGAGAGCTGCTTGTCATCATCGTGGTCAGGAAAACGAAAGGACGAACGTAGAAGATTGCTGACCATGACGAACAACAGTGCATATCCAGACGACAGACGGCTTGCCAGAATCAGTCTGGTGCATCTTCAGGAATCGTCTTTCCTAATCGCATTCAGCAGTCAGCTTCGAGGTCAAGAACGCGATGATATTTTCAGAAGGAATAATTTTCAAAATTTTTTAAATTTTGGAGAAGAAGCTTCCTTTCTAAAAAAAAAAAGCGTTCCTTGCTTTCACGCAAGGACCCCTTGCCGGACATGTCGTCGACAGCACAGTGTCGGTAGATCCACGTTTGTAGGCTGCAGACCCGGCAGACGTTTTGATCAGCCCGGCCTGGTGGTGAGATTTTGGACCCGGGAGTACTAAAAACTGCTCGCATCCCAGGGTGCTCAGTTTCGCTCTATCCGATCGAGTAAGGCTTCCAGAAAGGCCCTCAGGTGCGCGGCCTGCGGTGCCATAATATACCTCGTTTGTGTCACTGGTGGCGTTCCTGCGGATGCGGTGGCTTAAGCTTTGGCTTTGGCTTTGGCCACTCTCACGCGAACCGTGAAATTTTGTTATTTTTTATTTTTTTTTACCATTGATTGGAGGGCTAGAATGGAAGGCTATATCACAACATCCCGGCAGGCCGGCCAAGAAATGGTAGGACTCTTCTGGCCATTCTGATTTCGAAGGACAAATTGGGCTTACACTTCACTTGTAGCTACTAGTTTTTACACCTCTGCTTTGCTTGAAAGTTTACTTTAGTTTAGTTTTTGACGTTGGGGAGTCACAACGACACAAGCAAGTCGAAGTGACTGTCACCACCACATGCACGCATGATGCATATGCACAGTGCAAAATGATCACTAGTGGATGATCGAGTATTTTTTTATTTTATATTTTTTAAAGTAAACGTGAAAGAGAGAAAAGAAAAAGAAAAAGTAGTACAGCACACGGGGTCGCCGTGGTAAACAAAGCTTTAAAGAGAGAGAAGAAGGAAAAGAAAAGATAAGAAAGAAAGAGAGGTAAGCAACTCCATGTACATCAACCGTACTTGTGTCATACGCTTACAATGAACACTCAGCAGCCGCCAGAACAGCCGAGTGAACAGGAAGTGGCACTGAAGAGCGCCGGCGGTAGCCGCGCAGACTAGCAACCATGGCTCTCACTGGGCTGAAGGACAGTTTGGTCCGGACGAAAGCCATGGTGACGGAAAAAGGCTCGTTGCGCTTGTCGCTCAGTTTGCTGGCAATCCTGGCAAAAAGTGCAGATGAGGCCTTTCCCTGTCCACCAGTGGTGGAGAACACAATGGGCACAAAGGAGGAGTGCTCTACCTCCAGAACTCGCCGCTCACATAATCATTTCCTCCGCTTCTCCTGCTCATGCTTTCTGTAGACAGGCGGGAGTGTAAGGATTCGATTTGAGGGGACAAAAGGGTTGAACACCCGAACATCAAACATTGTCCTCTCAAACCTACTCCCATACAACCCCCGCGCTGCCACATCCAGCCTAGCATGGTCTTCGATGTTGGTCGACCGAAGAGGGAACATTTCACCGGACAGGGGCTCCAGTGCAGGCTCCACACAGACATCGTGGGCTACTTCCCGCAGCAAATTGGCGGTGAGGTCGCGAATCTCATTGTGCCGCATTCCAGGGAAGCCACCAACTGAACAGGACAGTGCATGCGTCGTGTCAAACTGCTTGCCGCAGACGCATTATGCTCAGCGCCAGCACCGGGAACAGCTCTTAAACACCACCCCCGGCACCAGTCCCGATTACCTTCGACGTTCCTTCCCGTACTGTTTCCTTGAATTGTGGAACAGCCTCCCCGAGGACGTCTTTCCCCGTCTGGCCAATCACTCTCCACTCACAGCTTTTAAAAAAGGTGTCAACAAACACATTTCAGACCAGCCATGGTCTTGGGACGTGCTTTGAAGCCCATCATGTTGATCGTCTCACTGTTCTTTCCAGATCGCACCTCTCGGTTTGGGGAAGCGCATTGAAGCACCCCATACTAACGGTCTATACTGTCCTCTCTTGGTCACCACTCTCCCTATTACCTATATTGTAATTGCCATTCATGTATTGCGCTTCAGATTTTCTTCCGTTTTTGTCTCTTGGTGCGTTACCGGCATGGCGATACTGAGACCTAATGGTCAGTGGAGTGCCTGTAGCCTCACCAGCACTGCTACTATCTGTGACTGTGGCGACCACAATTCAATGTCTCGTCCTCCCCTAACCGTATCCAACTCTCTCTCTCTCAGCTCTCTTTTTATCTGTCTTTTCGTACTCTTTTTTCTTTGTCAGCTTTCCTGGTGGTTATGTGCTTTTTCAAGTAAATAAAAAAAGAAAAGACGCAATGGGTTGGCAGTCACGTCGGGGAGGGGTCCAGCCGTATCGTAGGCACAAGGCATCGCGAAATCCCGACTTCGGCATCGTGAACTGAAAGCGGTGAGATGGCCGACACGTGAGCCAACTTGAGGCACCCTTCTCCGCAGCCAGATCCAAGATCCTTTGGTCGTCCAGGCTGAGCTGGTCCCTGAAGGAGGACAGGGCCACAGCTTGATCATGGCGTGCGGTCACACGTACATCCAACTTGGCGGCTTTGATGGCAGCAAACACATCTTCAGTGGATTCCTCCTGTTTCAGTAGCCTCTCCACTAGTGGTTTGGTGATGGAGACAGAGGCGGAGTACTGGCTGGATAAACCGGTAGGGATGATGAGTCCCAGGCCACCATTGCGACAGGGGAGCGATCGAGTATCGTATACGCGTATATCTACGATGTAGTTCGTACCGCTTCTGGACGCCAAGCGCGCCAGCCGAGTTGCTTTGGTGATCAGCTGTCACGTAGATCTACGTCTGTATAATCTACCAGAATCTGGCAGTAGATCTACCAGGTCCATGCCCTGGTAGATCATTCATGATTCAGGATTATTATCAGGCGCACTACCGCCGTACCGGATACCTGCCTCCCAAGCTTCCCTGCATGCATGATAGTTTCACCTTCATCGGCTTTCATTATTCTTTTGTTCTGGAAAAATCCCAGGTTGGCCGAGTGGCGTTGTCAGACATGATTGTAGAAGGCGAGCGGCTGAACAGGATCAAAAATGTCAAAGACCAAGACAAGAGTATAAGTGTACGTGTAACGCCTGATGCGTGATGGACCAGAGTGACGGATTGGAGCTACATGTACATGTATGCTGCATTCCCGAGTCGGGCTTTGCGGTGGCATGCCAGTGGCTGATGCCATGGGCTAACGTTGACACTGACAGCCTCAATGTTTACCATTGTTTACCAGGTCTAGAACAGGACAGCACGCCTACTCGCGAACTATCATGAACACCCATGCTGCTCTGCCGACGAAGATTTTTTGGCACTTCACGAGTAGGTGAAACCGCTTCCAGGACGCGACAGAATGAGTGGTTCGTTGTGTTTGGATGTAGCGACACCTGAGAGATGATACCGTGCCTGCACCCCAAATTACTGCTCTTCGCCAGTCGTAATGGCCGATCGAAGGAGAGGAAGTAGCAGGAGTATTTCTGTCCTGCTTCGTTCACAATGGCGTGTGGGTGTTTGCGATGTGCTCTCCGGTATCGACGAACAAGAAGCGCCCGCTATTCGCTGTATCTACTCGCGCTTCTGTCGTTGATGACGCTGGCACTGATCGCTAGACGAGTGGTACGACACGAGTGGGCGAACGAAGGGAAGGGTGCTGCGAAGCCGCTCAAGTCCAAAGTAACGCGAAGCAGACTAGAGAGAGATCCTGTTTCGCTGCTGAAGCGTATGCCGCTGGATCCTCTTCTGGGAAGTCGGAGCAAGAAAAATGGTGAGGCAATGAATGAAAAATAATGATAATCATGCCGGCCTAGTGCCTTCGAGCCGTCAGCATTGTTACTAGTAGAGACGTTATTACAGTGTTTGTGCATTTTAGCGTTGGGGTCGACCAATACTCGGCAATATCCTCCACTTCGTAATTCTTTGCTTGTGCTGGACAACAAAGGCAGGAGGATAACATAAAAGTGAATATGCCATGGAAAAATAAAAGGTGAATAGGCCAGGTGTCAGTGTGGTGCCAGGTGTAGCTACAGCCTACACGCGTCTGACCCGCCAATCCTAGGGCAGACAATGTGTGTACTAATCATGTTTATCTCTTGACTTCTCGGGTGCACAATGACTGTGTTGACAGGGTAAGATCATACAATGAGAAATACAGTCAGACCTCGCTTATCCGGTTCTCTTTTATCCGGATCCCTCTCCATCCGGAAGAAAATCGTTGGTTACCGATTTACCGCATATTCCATGCACACATACAATATGTGTGTTCGATTATCCGGTTCCCTCGCCTATCCGGATATTTTGTTGTTGTTGCGAAAAACGGATGTGTGCGGTTAAGCGAGGTCTGACTGTAGCCGCATGATCAGAATCTGCAGAGTAACCACTGTACCACTGTAAAGTGATACACTTCCGCAGCTCGAAAATTTAGAATTTTTCAAGAATTGCGCTGGTTCACGATGAGAATCTTTCGCGATCAAATCTCTTCAATTAGATCTTGTACAGTCTACGATCAATGTCCAGAGCAGTTTGCTGCGATTTATATTGGCTGGGAATGTGCAATGGTCGCGAAAATAGCGAAATTTAATCTCTAGCGAAAGTGTGTCACTTTACAGCAGCAAAATGAGATTGCAAGGTGCCTGCCGGACCCCGTTTTCCCGCTGGGTTTGCATTTCACCAATCAGGATTGAAGCACGATACTGTACCTTATTCCCGTAAATATGTTACTTCAGTAACGTCTGGCGCTAGCCAGGGTCCGCACAGCTTTAATTCCGCGTTTGTTTGTTTGTGCCATCCCGTACCTGTCCCGTACCGTACCATCAAGGACAGCATCGGCATGCCGACATATGTCTGGCGCTATCCCGTACCTGTCCCGTACCGTACCATCAAAGACAGCCGCCCACAATAATATTCAAATAGGGCTTTCAAATGCAAGATCATAACGTGAAGCAACTTGGAAGAATAAGTATGTATGCGAAGTGTATCAGTGGAATGCATGCAGGGCGATAGTGCGGGTTCGAATCCTAGGTTATGTCTTAAAAAATAATGGGAGAAATGAAAAATTTATAACATACCTACGCTTTTTTTCCTAGGTCATCAAGGTGATAGACGGTATCGTATTACCCTCGAATGCAAAGAGAAAGTTGACTCTCGCTAGGCAAAAAAGCATAGCGTAGGGCCCTGAGCTTCCAAGCTCTCTCGTATTTATTTTTATTTTTTTACTTTTAACACAGCCCTACCGGAAAACAGGTGGAGAACAAAAAGAAACGAGGAAAAGGACACAGCATAGGGGATGTAGGGACGACATGCCGATGTGCTGGGAGCAACTCAAACGACCAGAGGTCTCGGCGTCAGCGCTGCCAACTAGGCATCAAAACACTGTTTCTTGTGTGTCGGTTGTGGTATGCAGATTGGCCGAAGAACTTGCACCTTTTGCGCGTGTCGGTGTTCACCGGACCCATGCTGTTGACAGCGCCGCACGGCATACCGCTCTGGAGAGGTGATAAACTCAAGGGAAACGAACCAGGTACAAGCAGCGTGGCGTGGAGGTGAGCTACACTGCAAGTGTCGCGGACATGTTAAAAATCCAATGGGATCTCCGGGGCTCGCACACTTACCGCTTTTAGTGCGTATGTACGCTGTAGTTCAAGTACATGCTGTAAAAAATGGACCGTTACTAAATGCAGCCGTGCTCATGGCTGCAAGGCCAGCGCCCCGTGGCTCTGCTTGACTTCTCAGCGGATTTCAATGTCCACTACAGTAGTTTCTCAGTGGGTGTATGTGCTGCATGAATTCCTAGCCACCAAGCGCCTGCAGTCATGCTAGGTAAAATCCAACTGAAAGTGCATACTATGTTGTGCCCCGACTTGCAAATGTGCCTCCTTTATGATTGAGGCCTGTACAGCATACATATTATTCAGGGGCGTAGCTGGTCCCCCTTCTAGGGGTCAGGGGGGGGGGGGGCACGGCTGCATTTGTGTAGGATGGCAGGTGCATGCCTTTCATTGTCATTATGTGCATGCTAAACCTAGGTCGAAATGTTTAGGGGGAGGAGTGCATGTGCCCCCCCCCCCCCCCCCCCCGTGTGGGCTCTGCGCCTGGTATTGGCAGTGTGATGCAGTGCCCGTGGGTTCTTTGAAAGTCTCTTTTGTGTAGCAGAATGGTGCCCTGCTTCGCCCATTCTTGGCTGACAATTATGTCTTTGCATTGACTGCTTTTTCTTGTGTTTGTGTGGGTATGCGTTTGTGGTTGTGTGTTTGTGTACGCATGTCTGTGTCTGTACATCTGTGTGTGTGTGTATTGATCTATATGCATGCGTGCGTATGTGTGTGTGTGTGTGTGTGCACGTCTGTGTGTGTGTGTATCTGACACAGGAGTGCATTCATGGACCCGCTACGCGGCGTGGCCACGGCCCTGACATGGCGTGACATCAGCGTGACGTCGGAGCTAAGCCGCAGCCGCAGTCAGCAGCCCATTCTAGACCCTAACTACCTGCTGCCCCAGGAGACATTCCTGGAACCCTGGTCTGTGTTCTTGCGTGCACACTTCAGAGAGTACGGTGATCAGGCGGTGCTTGTTGACGTACATGGAATGGGTAAGGACAACTAAGCAGGGGCGTAGCTGGTCCCCCTTGTACGGGCGGGGGGCACGGCCGCATACATGTACGTGTAGGATGGCTGGTGCATGTCATTCATGGTCATTATGTGCATGCTGAACTTAGGTCGAAATGTTTAGGGGGGGGGGGGGGGGGTGTACATGTACGTGGCCCCCATGGGCTATGCGCTTGGACAACTGTATGCGAGTGGTCTGTTTCGTTTCCACACTGCGGTATTGTTTACAACATCAAATTTGCTGAGGATTGCAAACCTGTCTACTGTTAAACGGATAGTTTTAGCAAAAGGAGTGTTTTTGCTAAAGTTTTGTGGTGCCAATCGAAATTTGCATGTACAGTACAGTACAAGTCATCCTTCTTTTCAAACCCCGTCAGTTACAGGCCCAGTCACAAAGAATAAAAAATGATTGAAAATTCTGTGCTGGTCTTTGGTGTCGTGTTGTCGGTTGTGATGGTGAATGCTTTGGATTGTATTGTGAATCATGGCTTCCATGCGGTATTACACCGGTAGCACACAACAAAAACATCCAAGCACCATTTTTTAACTTGTTGGACCAAGTGTTACTTTTCAAAACAGGTATGTTTTTTGCCGTGTGTTTTCTGTTCCCGTGAATCTCCTCCAGCTGACGATCATGGCAGCGACTGTACTATCGGCATTGCGCCGTGGAATCGCACGCAGCCTGCGGAGGCAACGCGCTGCCAGCAGTGCATCCAGGAGCGCCTGGCTGCCGTGTTCCCTGCGTTTCGCTTCAAGCAGCTGCCCTACTTCACTGGCGACTGGGACGACCGGGTGTCCGCCAGACAGCAGCATGGCAATGGTAACGGCAATAACAATCTAGGTCGCATGACACTAAGCAGACAGGCAGCACACCTGGGCATGCGAGCCGTGCAGCTGGAAATGACCATGCGATTACGCAACGCCATCATCGGTGCGGCAAACACGACGACCACCGACCCTCCGGGCCCGCGCATCGGCGGCTGGCACTACGGCAAGCTACAGGAGTTTGCCGACACGCTGCGCGTGTGCGTGCTGCGTTTAGCAAGTGCTGGCACCAAGCCCCCGGTCGTCACGTTACCAACAACAATGCCATTATCAGCGCACCCTGTAACGCCGACTAGTGAAGAATCTCAGAAAGTTACCGAACAGATCGCCAAAGACACTGGCGGCGCATAGGTTGATCCTTGAAATGGATGCATTCTGTGTGTTTGCGTCATTTGACACGTCGGCTAACCTGTCGTAACCCCAACCCTATATCTATAGCTCGGTGGCAGCAGTGTTCAATACGTAGTAAGATCTATATTTCTACTACTGCAAGTCGACAAATTTTCGACCCATTCAAATTTCGGCTGCAACACATTTTCGGCCTGTACTGCTGCTGCCTGTACACACTGTCACACTGAACCTTGCAGCACAAAATTTCGGCTGCGACAAATTTTCGGCCAAATATGATCAGGCCGAAAATAGCGGAAAATAATTAAGCGCCAAATATTCAGTTGTCTTACAGTACTTAGTTCTAGCAGCGAGTCGACTCCCTGGTTCTAGTTATCCTGAACACTAATTATTATGATGAAGAAAGGAAAAGGACAAAATGTTACGAGTTATGACAAACTGTCCACCAACGTAACCAGATATTATACAGTCAGCGAGTGCGACAAAATGGCACAAAACTGACAAGGAGTACTGAGTGCCATTTTGTCACACTCGCTGACTGTATAAGATCTGGTTACGTTGGTGGACAGTTTGTCATAACCCGTAACATTTTGTCCTTTTCCTTTCTTCATCATAACTATATTGGCTCACCATCCGAGTTCAAACTAATAATTATATAATTATATTATTATTGACAGCCCTGTCAATTCCAACTTAGGGCCATATTTTTGCTGACCTATTAATTTTATCCTCTTACCAAGAGCAACCTTCAACGGCTGACTACTGAAGTCGTTTTCTGGTATTATTGTTGAAGAAGGAAGAAGAGGTTGTTGCGACTTCGGCGACACTGGGGGAATTGTGTGTCGCTCCCTACTGCGTGGGAGTCGCGCATTTCCTGCCGACTTAAATTCCGGCTCACTAACTTGACATGAGCTGATTGTTTAGGGACCATCGCAAAAGTTCGCAGAAGCCCCTGAAACGAAGAGCATACGTTTGGGGGGGGGGGGGGGGGAGGGAGTCGGTGCGAAAATCGCAAACCGGGCTTCAATTCAAAAAAGTATTGACGACATAATTATAGGAGCTGTAGGATTAGCATGCCATCACAGCCGGCGTAGATCGCTTGAATGTGAAAGCAATATACACCAATCAACGTTCATTGTAATGCTCAAAGGATACAACTGCATAGCTCTAGCTGTTCTCGTTCTTAGATCACCCACTGCAAGGTGATATCATCGTTGCATTTATAAAGTGCTGTACATTGTTACACACTGATACAACAATGCTTGTGTAGTATATTATAATAATTATTACTAGTATGTGTGAGCATCGAAGTGAAAAAATGAAGCCCATATTGTGACTGTCGTTTCGTTTGAGGGGGGAGGGAGGGGGGTCAGGCCCGAAACTCACGGTCTTCGTTTCGGGGGCTTCTGCGAACTTTTGCGATGGTCCCTTAGTAACTGGTGGTGTTTGTGGACCGTGATTATAGCGTAACCTGTAGTTCCTTAAGTAAAAGTGGGGAGGTTTCCTGCAGTATCATGAACAATAAAGAGTAGAGCCCACACACATCATGGTGAAATGAGTTGAATTATTGGAGTGTTTAAAATGGAAGAGAGCGTGTGGGCTGTTGTAGTTCCTTGGTCCTTTTTCTTTGCTATAATAATAATAATTATTATTATTAATTATTATAGCAATCAAGGTAGGGTAGCAAGATACAATGACAGCACTGGAATATCGAGGTGTGATTTCTCTCATTTCTCACAAAAACGTGCAGAAAACAAGGGTATACAAGTAAGAACTACGCGCACGCGTGACAAGTGTGTATCAGCAACAAAAAAAAGTGAGAACGAATGATAATAATAAAAATAACAAACAAGAAGTTGACAAACCACATTTAGGCACAAGTGGCAACAACGTTGCCACACTACACAAACGAACATTATTTGAACAATTTTAGGGTAATAACACTATCTTTCTGGACACACAAATTCGGCTTATGAATGCGCTGACAAACAGCTTCCAAAACTTGTAACTGCAACAGATAACCATGCCGAGCACGGCACAAAACAGAAAAACAGGAATCAGAATAAGTACGGCAACAGTCAGTACTGTAGAGACCAAATGATTGTATACTGAAGACTTCTTATTACGAGACGTACCACACGATCTCGACTCACGCGCACAACCTCACACTCACTCTCACCCCCACTCAGCTCACCTTCTCCCTCACTGCTCAAACCAGAACCTGCTCCATCATCCACACCGGTTTGAATCTCCTCCTCACTTGTAAAGTTGTATCGTCCTGCGTCTCACCTTCACCATCAACGCCAGCCGCAAATGCCGTTGCCTTCATGTTAGTCGTCGTCCTCTCCGATTGTTTCCTTTGTACGTTTACCGTGAATTCATAGGTCCGGTTGTAATCTGCTGTAGATCTGCGTGGTCTGTCATTTGCTGCTTTGTTTTTTGGATCAGTTGCTGTTGTTGTTAGATGTGAAGCTGGTGTTGTTGTTGGATCTCCAGAACCGAGCTGCCAGGGCAGTGTTTGGCCAGCCACCCCGCTCTCATGCTCAACCCCTCCTGACCAGCTTGCAGCTCTACAGCATTCAGGAGCTGCACAAGCAGAAAATGCTGAGGTTTGTGTGGCGTTGCCAGCACAATCGAGCCAGCCCAGCCCTCCAGGACAAGTTTCGAAGTGCTCATGGAAACACCACCCGGCTCCAGCAAGGACAGGGTTTGCGCCTGCCGCTAGCCCGGTCAGCAGCAGGGACATCCCGTCCATCGCACTGTGGTGCCATCCTCTGGAACACCCTCCCCAGCGAAGTTCGCCTACTCAATCGTCCCAGTGAATTCGCCGTAGCTGCACTGCCCTTCACGCTGGCGGGCTAGATCTGCAAACTCCGTGAATTCTCCCGCCTTCTGTGTTCACAGTCCCATACTCCCCTTGGAGTAGTCTGCACGGCGCTGCTGCTGCTGCTGTTGTTGTTGCTGTTGTTGTTGTTGTTGTTGTTGTTGCTGCTGCTGCTGCTGCTGCTGCTGCTGCTACAGCAGCTACTACTGTGGCTGTAGTTACAGCCCCTCTCGTTGTCAGGAAATGTTTGCTTGTGCTACTTCTCATCCAGTTGACTTCTTATTATGACTTTGTACGTTATAATTTTGTTGAGCTCCGGTTTTCCCCTTCATTCTAACTCAAGTGCAGTTTAGCGTGTATTGGCTTGTGATTTCCTTTCTTCTGTTTGCTTGGCATTTTATCGCTCCACAGGTACCCTCGGTCTCAGGTGCTCTCACATTAAATTTTGTGCAATTGTTGATTTTGGTCCTGAATTGTCCTCCCTGTTGCTTTGCTACCGTCCTCCTCCTTCCTCCACCTTTTTTTCTTCTTAATTGGCCTCATTATGGCATTCGCTTCCATGTAATCGGGCTTGTAGCCCGTGTGTACTTGCGAATTCAAATAAAAATATACATACATACATACATGTGAAGCTGGTGTTGTTGTTGCAGCCATGGTTGTTGGTCTTTCTGTTGAATCCAGCTCTGGTTCCGGTGGGACAAATCGACCGCCACGAGTGCTCCCCACCACCACATGCCTCGAAGGAGGAGGGTCAGGGGGAGGCAGAGGTGCTGTCACCACTCGAGGCACAGCCCCAGGCAAAGCACCCAGCGGCACAGACTTAGGCAAACCCGAGGGCTGCACCAATGGCGGTTCCGCACGCACCTCTAAAGAGCTGCCAAGCTCAAGCCCGTCCAACACCGATGTCAGAGGCGGAACGGCAGACAGCGGCAGGGAACTATCCTGCCGTGTAGGTACTGGATTTTTCCTAGGCCTCCCGCGTTTGGGCCTCTCAGATTGTGCACTGGGTGGAAGAATGTGAAGATAGTGTTACACTGTATTACCCTAAAATTGTTCAAATAATGTTCGTTTGTATAGTGTGGCAACGTTGTTGCCACTTGTGCCTAAATCTAGTAAATGTGGTTTGTCAACTTCTTGTTTGTTATTTTTATTATTGGAAAGGCTTCCTGTCTGAAGCCTTTCCATACTGGTACTCGATGTTCCAGTTTTGTGACACGAGAATGGCACGAGAATTAGTGTACCGCTGAGTGTACCGCTATACACGTGGTCGACACGTAGTCGACACGTTGTTGATACTTTTTTGACACGTGACCCCGTCAACGGTCTGCTTTGTGCCAATGCCACTCGGTAAACGCCGATGTCGCGTACGACAAAGACCACTATCCCGTACGCGAAATAATGTGGTCGTCACGGGATGATATACCTGCAAGATACAAGTGATGAAGAAAGAAAGCAGAAGGTCGTGAGGTAGCCCAGAGCCAATTCTTTTGACGCAAGTGGCGATGGACCTTCGTCTTGAAGGATTGGAGAGACTTCAACTGGGGCATCGGATCCGGAAACATGTCTTGCGGAAGCCTGTTCCATTCATCCACTACACCATATGGGAACGAACGCTGGAGAAAGTTGGGGGCCGTAGGGAGGAGCACTGCTTGTAGCTGATGCTGGTGGCGGACACGGAGCTGCGACCTTGTCCGCGGGACGAGGCTAGCTTCCTGGCGAGGCGGCACGAGCGCAGAGAGATCTGGATGGTCTTGAAGGCACATTAGCTTGTACATGTACGTGAGAGCGTACACTTGGCGGCGGGCAGCTAGGCTCTGCAGCAAGGCGTCAGGACCAATGATAGCAAGGGCCTTCCGCTGTACTCGGTCGAGACTTTGCAGGTGAGAGTTGGCTGCGCCCATCCATGTCAATGGTGCGTATTCGAGTACAGGGCGTACGAAGCCTCTGTACGTTGTCAAGCGTCCTTCACGACCAAGGAAACTTGATGCTCGACGCAGAAATCCTAGTCGGGCTACTGCACGAAGAGAAACATTGCGGAGGTGGCGTCTGAAGGTGAGTTTGCTGTCGAAGGTCACTCCCAGAAGCTTCAGCTCGTCCCCACAGGGAATATCATGGGCTCCGAACGTTAGGTCTGGGAGTGGCCAGGGGTTGCGGTGGTGGCCAATATGCAGCAGCTGCGACTTTGTCGGCTCAAAGCGAATCCGCCATTGTTCTCCCCAGCTACTCAATCGATCCAGGCTAGATTGCATGTCTGCAATACTGCCAGCAGAGTCATGTCTGGATCGTATGATGGTGTACAGCGTGGTGTCATCTGCGTACACACCCATTCGTGTTGATGGGGAAAGACAGGTCTCAGCATCGTTGACATACATCAAGAATAAGGTGGGTCCCAGGATGCTGCCTTGGGGTACGCCAGCTTTAATCTGGAATTGAGCAGATTCCTGTCCATTGACGATTGCGCTTAGTGTGCGATTCCGCAAATAGTCCCGTAGCCACTGCAGCAGGCTACCGCCAATACCGAGAGTGGCCGCTTTGTGTAGGACGCCTGGGTGCGACACGCGGTCAAACGCACCAGCAATGTCGACAGCCAGGACGTGGGCACAGCCACCAGAACCAGCTGCCAGCGACCAATCATGCCCAAGCACTGCTAGTAGGTCCGCTGTTCCAAGGCCACTGCGAAATCCGTACTGCTTGGTTGACAAGAGATGATGTTTTTCAAGGTGATTCACAATTTGACAGTTCACAATACGCTCCATCACTTTGGAGATGATGGGGAGGAGGGAGACTGGGCGGTAATTCTTAGGGTTGGATAGGCTGCCCTTCTTGTAGACTGGCACAACTCGAGCACTCTTCCAGGCCTCTGGCTGGACCCCCTTACGGAAGCACAGGGCGAAGAGAGACGTGAGAGGCGATGCAAGTTCATGGGACCACTCTTTGAGCACTCGGGCAGGGATGTT